TACGTTTGGCAATACTGGAGTTAATTGGCGTTCTTCAGCAATTTCAGCTCAAGGTGGAGGAAATAATGTTTCTAACAATAGTGGGAATCTTGGTTATGGAGTTGGTGATAACAGTTATGGTTTGGGAACCGGAGGTTATGGAAGAAACAGTGGTACAAGTGTGGCCCCTTCATCTTCATTTGCTGCGTCAAATGGTGGTTTCGATGGGTCCTTCTCTGACTTTTACAATGGTAATTCTGTTTATGGAGATCCTACTTGGCGATCATCGAATTCCGAGCGAGAAGGGTCTGTTCCCTTTGGTTATGGTCTTGGCGGTGCAACTTCTGATGTTTCAGCTAAAAGTTCGCCTGGTTATGTTGGTGGTTATAGTGTTAATAAGAGACAGTCAAACACAGGTAAGAAACACTTAATTACTATCTCATGCAACTTCTGGTTTTCATTTTTTAAAATGTTTTTTTTGGTTGATATATAAGGAGCTTTATTCTAAAAAATTTGTTTGAAGTTGACTACGAGAGGATTGGATCCTGAATTTGGTTTGACCTACAATTCTAGTGATAAATTCTGTCCAAGTGTGTAGGTTTTTTGTGTTTTGGTCCATATTAACTGTATGAATAGGAAAAGCACTTCATAAGGTTGTGCTGCAAAATTTTATTGAATTTTGTGACTGGGTCTAGCTATTCGCATGTTCGCCACATGGCTAGGGATGTGATTGTTACATTAGGTACCTAGATGGTTCTTTACTTCATCTGTCATCCTCTAGCTGATTATCCACAGTGATGCCATCTTTTAACTTTCCTATATCTTTAACAAAGATTCTTGGGAAGCTAGTTATTTTGCTGGTGAAGAGTGTATTTCTTTGGAGTCCAAGGGCTATTAGGTTTTTATGTGAGTTCTGTTAAGCAATGGGGAAACTGTGGGACTTCGAGATGAAGGGAAAAGGCTTTCAATGTTGGAGTATTGGTGAAATAATTTTATTTGGCTTTCTGGTGTTAGTAGAAGTTGTAGCTGGGCCAGTGAGCTTCTTGGCTACTTAACTAGATACAACCTTCTACCTTTTGGTAATTAGGGGGATGATTGTCCCAATTGGGTATTGATTGTGCAGGGGTGAAGCGACGGTCTACCATATTTATATTTTGTGGTATGTTGTTGATAAGGCATTAGGGGATCTCCTGTGTTCTTGCTTATGTGATTTTAAAGAATCTTCTGCTCCTTTGCTTTTGATAGGAAGATTAGGAAGCCTTCATCAATTTCTCTTCTCCTTCTGGAAGGAAAAGCATTATGAATCTTTCCGAGGGTTGGAGCTCTCTTTCCCTTATATTGCATTTGTTTCCTTTATTTCTTTGGCAGATTTCGAAGTTACTTCTTGTTTATTGGCCATTCTAGAGTTTGGATGAGTTTTCTCTTTTTACCCCTCTCTCTCTTTAGGTGTGTGCGCACATTTTGGGTCATAGGATTTTGTTTTTGTTTCTTATGTAGAAGTGCATGATTTTTTTTCTGCTACGCTATAGAACTCTCTACTATGCGGTCCCATTCTCTTGTTTTAAGGAGTTCTTGAGTCTTGACATTGTCTTTCAAGAGATTCAGCATATGTTTTTCACAAAATAAGACACAATAGTGAAAAGTGGCTTCATTTTTTATTATCACAACTTAAAGACCACAATATGTATAGTCAGCAGTGCATTGAAGTTGAGTAACATGATTCTCCTAGTTTTATCTCTCTATGTTGTTCTTTTAATTCAGTCAAGGAAGAAATTGAGAGAAATGTAGAAGTCTAAAGAAGTCTAATATGAATATCGTTGAATTCTAGCCTATGGTTAAAATGTGTCTGCACTGGCTGTCTCCATCTCTCTTTCTGGTGTGTGTTTGCTCTCATAACTTTTGTCCTTTTGTCCTTGTATCCAACCTTTTCATAATCTCTTTTTAGGACCTTTCTGAATCTGTTAAGTCAAGTAATACAAAGCACTAGTCAAGGGTCAGTAGTGGAGAGGGATGATATAGTTGGGCAGTATGTATGTTTTTCTGTCTCATGGATGCATATTCAAGTTCTGCAAGTAGGAGGGTGTATAACTAACGAATGAATAGAAGGATAGAGAATTTAGTCGACCATTGGATTCTCATTTCGTGAGCCTTAATTCCTTACAGCCTCTTCAAATTTGAGGTCAGATTTGTTATACAGTCTTGCCATCATTGAAGAAATCACAACTTAGTTTATAATGGCTGCATATTCCTTATTTATTTGAATGTTGCAGCAGTTATAAAAGGTGAAACATATTGTTGTTAGCATAAGCTTTCAGGATACTTAGCTTTTACCCATGAGTTGGCTGATAGCTACTCGCTACATAGCGTTTTTAATCAGTGTCAGAGTGCAAAGTATTCAAATTTTCTTGGAAGTTATTTCCGTGAATTTGATCCCGCATTGAAGCTGTTGGTAATACAATTATGTATATGTATATGTAAACACCTACACGCGCATGGACACACATACGCACACATACACACGCCTGTCTACTTAGATGAATGAAATGGAATCTACTCATTAATGTAATGTAAATTTAACTAAAAAAGTGTTTCTCACTTGACTAATTTTCAATATATATGCTGATACTTAAAAGCTCATTTCCAACGTTCTTTCAGGAATTGCTGCCTAGGATCTTCGTTTCTGATATCACGGCATTGTAGGTGAAAGATAGTCTGGTGAAGCAGGGGAATTGTGAATTTTGCACACCGCCCTCATTTATATATCTCAGTAAAAGAAATATGGTTAGTAAGAAGAGCTAACTGGCTGGAGTGCCTGTTTCAAGAATTAAGATTAGAGGTAGAAGTTAAAATGGATTTTGTGTTAATGCTTGAGTTTTGAGTTACCCATTTTAGGTTTTTATATTTTGGTCTTTGAGTGAGATGTAAAATCAGATTGCGGGATATAGTCAGAAGTGTATCATGCATCTCCGGTGAGGCGGCGATACCCAAAAAAAAAAAAAAAAAAAAAAAAAAAAAAAAAATGGATAGAACTAGATAATATATATATTTTTTCCTAGAGTTTTATCTGTAACATCTCTGGCAAAGCTTTGGGTTCTGGTCAGGGAATGCTTCTTTTTATTCTTTTTTTTTCTTCCCATTATTCTGTTTTTCTTTTTTGTACCTGAAATTACTGTCGATTTATTAGTGTGAAACGTTTAAGGGTTACCCATATAGGGACCCCCATTAATAATTATCGCATATTCTGATTCTTAGCCTTCGAGGATTTAGTATGCAACACTTTCAAAGTCTTTTTTCAATATATTTTTTTAGGTGAAATGTAGTGTCTCATGTTCATGTTGACAAGTTGATCAATTTGCCAAAACAGAGTAGGAACATCAAGTTCTTTTCTTTCTTTGGAAAGTTATTATTTTTTATTCTTAATAAATAATTCCTGGAGGATTAAAAGTCAGCTGATAAAGTAGACATGGGCTTAGCCAAGTTGGCTAAAATGGATGTGATCCCCACTCTGCACTCGAGTTCGAATCTCTCTCTCTGTAATTTAGATTAGATTACACTATAATATTTGGTAATATTTTAATTCAAAATGATGTAGGTAATATTTGGAAGATTAGGAAATTAATAAGTCTCTTTCTTTCCAGCATGAACGTTTAAGTGGTTTCTGATCAGGCAAAGAGTGCGTTGAATGCATTATAAAAGGAAGGTATTATTTAACTTTGAAAATCTCTTTTCATTGGAAAAAAAATAAAAAGAGAGGAAAAATCTTGTATGATAGAGGACCCTTAAAGAGAGACCAACATTCCTGCCACTACATTTGCTCCTTTCTGCTTTATATCATTCTAGATATCTCTGATGGGAAATTCAAAGAGCTCAAGTGGGGAGAGAGACTCGAATATAACAGCCCAAAAAGTTCAAAGAAAGAAGAAAGGATAAAGAAAACGATTGAAAATACCACCTTTTATGTTACTTTTAGACTTTCTACAATGAGCTTGTGTGAATGATCAATCTACTTCAACTTTCACTGGCTATGGCTGCAGTAACTATTCAAGAATCAAGATGCAAATTCTACACAACCAAACAAATGTGTTAGCAACAAAATTGCATAGTTTTCTCACTTACACGGTTTGCCTATGAAATGGCAAATGGATGAACTTTTATGTCACTTGAAAGTGAGGCTTAACTTTAGTGATAGAACATTTGTCCCTAATTCTTCGGAATACTTACAGTAAGAGTTCGACTCTCGTCTCTTTCCCTTTAGGGCAACACCGTCACCGTTCAATTGCAAGCACTTGTTTTGAAAGGGATCTATTATTGTCTCATCCTTTGTCTAGCAAGCAAGGATCCACTAGACGACAAGCAGTAGTTGTGACAATGATTGTAATTGGTCAAATACAATTAAGCATACGTCCAAATTCAATCACAACAAGCTTAATTGGAAGGCAAGTAATCTTTATTTGTTAAGAAAGTGGGTGGAAGACAAGTAATTTATTTATTCACAAGTGGTAGAACTATCAACAAACGTCAAGATGGCCGAGTTGGTCTAAGGCGCCAGTTTCAGGTACTGGTCCGAAAGGGCATGGGTTCGAATCCCATTCTTGACAAAATCAACTTTTTGACTTAATTTTTTTTTTCTTTTCTGATGATTTATCTTTACAGAAACTTACAGCAAAAGGAAAACTTGTGTGTAAAATAGTTGAGTGAAACTGTGGTAATTGAACATACAGTACAAACTGTGGTAATTGTATACATTCAGGCAAAGAAGAAAGAAAAGTTTTCATCCAAAAAAACAAAAAGAAGAAACTATAAGCACAAGTTTGATTTCTGATCTCAGCTGCCCTACAGAAGCATGAAACATCCAAACCAAAATTTTAGTTCCTTTCCACAAAAGCACTGTTTTTCAACATGTAGTTGGCTGGCTGGCTAGCTAGCTATAAATATGATCCATGACATTGCAAAGAGGGTTCTTCCTCAAGCATAATTTTGTGTAATTATGCCATCTGTATATGTATGTCTCTCTCTCAAGCTCAACTGAAGATTGCACTGCCTTTATCAGAGCCCCCAATTAAACCCTCCCTCCTCAGCTTCTCCTCCTTTGATTTTCTACAAAACACCACCCAAGAATTCACCTCCAAAGCTATACACACCCCAATCAGAGTAGACAAACCCAAACAATAGGCCAGCTTAGCATAAGACCTGCCTTCTCCCATCACATCAAAACCCTGGAAACAATTTACAACCCCAAGCACCACACATCCATACCCTACAAAATGGTGATAAGATTTCCAGTACTTCCTGAATTTGTTTGTAGTTTTTGGCCTAAACAAAAGTGCCAGTGTTTGAAGAGCACCTAAGCAAAATGCTGCAAACCCAAGCTTCCTGTGGAGCCCATATTGGACACCAGGTGACAAATCCCCAAGCCTAATTCCAATGGCAAACCCCACAGTTCCTAAGAAAAAAGCAAACAGTTGGATCCCAGCATGAACATAGAACCATGTAGGCCCCAGTGCTTGGATGTGCCTAAGGTAGCGTGCAATCACTGCTCCAATGGGTAGCATGATTCCCCATGAAACAGCATTTATGATGCCATGCACTGATCTGAGTGTACCAATGTTGGTGTGACGTGCGGCCGTTGAGCCTGACATGACATCGAATGTCATTACCGACGAAAGGTCGTTTGCGGTGGTTGGGTGTATGGTTGGTGAGTAGCCTTGGACATAGAGGCCGCGGTTCCACACGTGGTGGAGTTTTGTTTTGTTTGACGCGAGCTTCAATGTGGCGAAGATTTGGACTGCGGCCCCATTATGGACGGTGGCTAGTTTGCCACCGTATAGAGTGGCAGAGGAGGAGATTATGCGGATGTCAAGAGGGCGAGAGAGGAGAGGGCGGCGTTGGAACTTCACGGTTGGGTCCAGGAGGTAAGGTAGGAGGACTATTTGGCCGGTACTAGGGTCCGGAAAGGCGACCAATGCATTTGTGCCGGTCATTTCGGGGGAGGTGGGGTTGATGCCCCACCCGACCCACCCGGAAGGGGATATGAAAGTGCCAAAGAAAACAAGGTCTAAGGTGGCATTGTGGTGGTGGAATGTCCATGCTATGGAGGCTTGTTGGGTAGGGAGGGTGATGCATTTCTGGAAGGTTTGAGTGGGGGTGGAGGTGGTGCAATGGGCAGAAAATGTGACATGGGGTAGGGAAAAGAGAAGGAAGAGGGATAAGAGGAAGAGCATATTGATGGGTTGGAAGAAGGATTTGATCAAAGAGAAATGGAGCTAGGGAGCTTGAATTGGTTTGGTTGGGAAGCTTTTGTTAACATTTATGTGTTTGGTAATGATGAGGGAGATAAGAGGGTGATGGTTGGTCATCATGGCTGTGGAGCAAGTGTGGGAATAGAATAGTGTGTGTGCTTAGCTTTGAAGTTAAGGCACTCGAAAGTGTTTGTTTGGTGGAATAGAAAATGAAGGCTTCAAAGTGCAAGTGCAAGTATCTTTTGTCGTGGAATATTTGGGGTTTTTTTGTTGTCTTCTTTAATGAAATAGATCTTTGCGAGGATTGTGCTTGTCTTTGAAGCAAGGGAATGATGATAAGTGAAGCTTGCTTTTGACTAATTTTTATTTATTTATAAAATTTGCTCTCATTATTTAAATAATTAAATATTCTCCAACACTATTGGGAAAAAAGAGGTACACAAAAAATCTCGACCTTTGACTTCATCATACTTGAAACGACGTCGTTTGATGGTTAATCTATGTAATTGTTTTGTCTGTCAGTTTGTGCGAGAGAGAGAGAGAGAGAGAGCAAGGGAAGCAAAGATGGAGCAAGAGAAAGAGAAAGATGGAGTGAGCCTGGAAGGAGGGAGAGTGATACTGGTGCCTTACATGAAAGAACACGTTCCAAAGTACCATGAGTGGATGCAAGACCCAGCTCTTCTCCAAGCCACTGGCTCTGAGCCCCTCACCCTCGACCAGGAGTACCAGATGCAGCTCACCTGGACCCAAGACCCCAACAGTTCTCTCTCTCTCTCTCTCTCTCTCTCTCTCTGATTTTGTGGATTAGTTTGCTAAACTGAACTGGGTAATCTTGGTTTTGACAAATAACTTATAATTATAGATTCTGCTAGTCAAGGTTTGATCTTTCCGGGAAAAAAAGAAGAGGGTTCCATCGGGTTTTGATTAGTGATTGAGGTTTATTTGAAAGATTTCATTGTTATATTCATGGTCTTGTGAGTGTAAAGAATTGGAAATGGGTTTTGCAGAGCAGACTTTTATTGTATTGGATAAGCAGTTGGTTGTGGGAGAGTTCAACCATGGACGGCCCCATGTGGAAGGTTAGCCAAATTTATACTCTTTCTTCACAAATTACTGTCTGTTTGGTTGCTGAGAAAAATTAAAGGAAGTTACTAAAAAAAAAAAAAAAAAAAAAAAAGAGAGAGGGAAAAATCTGTTTTGCAAGTAAAAGGATCACCTTGAGTAAGCAAAGCACTTTTTCTCTAGGAACAGTTGGTTGGATGGTTTGGAATGGCATTCCCGAGAAGGTTCTTATTGTTCAGCAAGTAAAACTGGGAATTATTAACTTATTCCAGTTTTGAAGATATCGTTTGTTCAGTTAATTTTTATTAGAAATCGAGGCGTTCAGAGAAAAACAAAGATAAAGAAGATATTTTTAAAGGAGTTGAGTGCCTGTAGCTATCTATTGAACATATTATGAAAATATATGCACTTCAAATCTTGAACTAGTTCATTTGCATGGTGGACTTTCTTTGTGTAGTATGATTTATCAGTGAGTAATGGTATGCCCTTTGCCAGCCATGGTAGGTGATGTGAATTTATATATGAATGACCTGGATGATCCTCAAATGGCAGAGATTGAAATAATGATTGCTGAGCCAAAAAGGTACCAGCTTTTACTTTCTTCTGATGCCAACGAGGCTGAAGTGCATGTGTTAGTGCCAATCTGGTTTTCCCTTTTTTTTTGGTTAATTATATATGTTTGTTCATTTGAAGCTTTCTAGAACCAAAAATTTATACCTCCTTGCTTGTTTTCACTTTAGGAACTGTTGTATATACTATAATTTAAACTTCCAATATTTGCTCTTGCTAGCATAGTCGTGGTAAAGGACTTGGGAAGGAGTCTGCCTTGATGATGATGGCCTTTGCAGTTGAGAATCTGGGGATCCACATCTTCCGTGCTAAAATTGGAGAGCTAAATGGAGCATCTCTTAGCTTGTTCCGGAAATTGGTCTCTCTCTCTCTCTCTCTCTCTCTCTCTCTCTCTCTCTCTATATATATATATATATATATATATGAATTTATTTTATCACAAACTCAATTTATCATGCAATGTTAGTTGCTCATACTTCACTTACATTTTGCACTTGTTCTTCCTTCTGGTTCACCAAACTCGCATATGTTTGATGCAGGGCTTTGAGGAGACTTCTTATAGTGAAATCTTCAAAGAGGTGAGCACAATTATCTTCATGAAATATGCATATCTGCACAGGCTTTAGTTGGTCTATGTGAACTATAGATTTTTGGGATTGAATGTCTTTTTAATGTTCCTACTCTCTTTATACCTTGGAGTGGCTCTCCTAAATTATGGATGCTTTAATTACAACTTATGTACCGCCCAGCTTAAAATCCAATTTTTTTTCAATAGTTTCATGTTTTTAAAAAGGGGCTCGATACTCATATGAAAAGAATAAGAACCATAAAGAGTTTAGTGGCCTCTCAATTTGTGGGTATCAAGTCTCCCTGCCTTTTTTTTCGTTGATGATTTTGACTAATTTATTGAAGATCTAGAAACAGTGGAAATTTAAATGTTTTGGAAGAGAAAAAAAGTTCAAATTGGTTGGTTATGAGGATTCAGTATTGGAGCTCCATTTATCCATTTTAACAAATTTCCTGTCATATCTGACAGGTAACATTGGAGTTATCTGTAACAAAGGCCAAGCATGATGAGCTGCTGCAGTTGATGGATAGCTTCATTACACATGCCTAGCAGTCAGGGACCTATTTATTCAAGCTAATTTTCTACTTCACAATCCACATCAACTCTCACTCTAGTGCTTTGTACACAGAAAAGCTTTGAGGTTATTTAGACTCTACCATAAGATGGAAGTGTTAATCTTGCTGAACAGGGCTACACTAAAATATTAGGGCTATAAATATCCCCTTTTGAAGATCATTCTGGTTGGTTTATTAATTTCCTATCGATCTACATCCTTCTTTTATTTACTTTTCCTTTCCCCCTTCTGGTTTAGTAGTAAACATGATCATAGTAGTTCATCCAGACAGAAAATCAAATTTTCTGACGGATTGAATAATTGGCCCTGTAATTTGGTCAAGTCTCAGGGATATCGTTTGAAACTGAATTCCCAGCTTGTCATACATGAGTGACTGGTGCCATTAGCTAATGGTCCCAGGACACCAAAGATGGGCCGTTGGAATTTTCTGCAGAGATGCTAGAAACTTGAAAGCTAAAAGCTCTTGGCTGCACCTCCAGGTGCTGTATAAACTGCCATGACGGTAGAAGCTTGAGTTGCTCTGTAAGCAATTTGGATGCTTCTGGTGGATGGAATGTAATTCCAGTGGGGGCTTGTAGTACCAGAAGGTCACTGCAAGAAGTGAAGATCTGGTTGGTCAAAAAGTTGCCGTCTGAGCAAGTTCTTAATGAGGAAGTGAGCACTAGATGGAGAAAAATTGCAAATGATCAAAGCAGGTGTTATTTCCATGGACTGTTGGATATTGAACTTAAAGGGCTTTCCAAGGCTTTTTGGGGATATAATGGTTTCTGATTTAGAGTTGCTAAAGGACTTGATTCAGGCTCAATTTGAAGGGACGATGTGATGGCATACAATAATACATGTATGTAATACTTAAAGGAGGAACGCCTCCGAGCCTTCAATTGTGGCTCAACCACAAAGTGACATGTGTCCTTATTTTTTAATTGTCAAAACATCTTTTTATTTATTTATTTTATTTTATTAAAATTCCCATTGTTCTTCACATTGGTTTTTCTCAACCATTTTTAAAATAATAATTTTCCTTCATCAATCAAAATAAAAAGTTAAGGGTTCAATAAAAGAACAGCATTGACAATTAAAAACGAGAAGACACATGTCACTTTGTGGTCGAGCCACAATAGAAGATAATGAAGGAAGTATTGTCCTCCTAGACACATGTCACTTTGTGGTCGAGCCACAATAGAAGATAATGAGGGAAGTATTGTCCTCCTAATATATATGATGTTGCATGCATGTGATGACATGATACAACCGCATGTATATAAGATGACCAAACTAACCTTGTGACTTGTAACGTAGTCAATATAGTACATACGATATTTGCTAAAAAGTCAATAGGCGTATAGGTTGGGGTGGCCATGAAACCGCATGAAGAGTTAACACCGGTCAAATTAAACCAATTAAAATCGTCCAGACACTGATTTGATTTCTACACTAACGTACGGTTCGATTGCAATTTGGGAGTGAGACCGATTTAAACCGGACCGTGCCGCCCATGGTTTGAGAAAGTCAAGAACAGAAGGGGGAGTCAAATGAATAATTATATACCACCACAAAGGGGCAACTACAAGGGTAGTGTGGTCAAATAATGAAATGCAAGAAAAAGTGAAGTATTATATTATACTATGTGATGTGAGAAATAGCTGGAGCTTGCTTCTAGGCGAGTAACGATCGAGTGGAAAGACCAAAGTCCCTTTCGTGGGGAGCACGAAGAAAGATGCTGATTGATTGTTAATCATATAATTCCATCATCCAGAATTTACCAAATCTAATCAATAATTACCTTTTCATCCCAAATACCTCTTCTTATAATAATAATAATAAGTATTTTGAAAGCGACCTCTTCTTTCATTTTAAATTTCATTGTAAGTTCAAATGCTTGGTTTTACGAAGAAGATGAAGGTTTCTTATACACACACTACCGATATGTCATATGAGTTCGAATCTGAAACCATTGATCTGTAAATGAAGACCATTTTTTATTAGACTAGACATCGTTGACAAATACTTTGTTGTTGATAAAGCAAAAGGCGGTCTTTTTTTGGTTTGAAGTTCTTGTTTTTTTTCAAAATTTGAAATTATGATAATAAGGTATTATAATTTCGCTTACAAAAGCAGGAAATTTCGATTATATGTACCCAAAAGTTTATTTGGACTACATGTATTTCTTTCTTTTCCTTCTCCCCTTACTTTATTTTCATCATTTGTAGTTGGTTGAAACGTGAAAGTATTGTTGGATGGCAATGGCGGTGACGTCGAATAGTGAATAAAGTTGGTGGTATTTTTGGGCGAAGAACTTTATGCTAATTATGTGTGTGATTATTATTTTTCTTTTCAAAAGAATGTTTGAATTTTTTTTTTGGAGTGTTGAGCTATTATCAAACAATTAAACAATAATAGTGTTTATGTTTGACTAAATTGACTTCTATTCTAGTAGTGGACTTGTTTGATCTCATTAACAATAATTTAATTTGCTGTTGGTTCCATAATTTTTTTTTTTTCATTTCAATATATATGCTTACAAGTTGAACCTATATATTGTTGATTTCTACTTAATTTTTTTAAAATAATATTAAATATAATTCAACATTATATTTATTTATATATGCAAAACGGGACAAGAAAAAGTATTTTTTTTTTCTTCACTATTCCTTGTGACCGGCCACACACACACACACACATATATATATATATAAGCTTGGATAGATAATTACTCTGGGCTAAAGTTTTCAGTGAATGGTCACCAACCATTTGTATTACAAAACGAATGATTAAAATTCGATTGGTTTATTATATTGTGAAATAAAGTATGCTTGTCTTTCTAATTTAATATTTGGATTTTTTTTTTAATGAGATAGGGGTGATAAAACCCCTAAAATAAACGACAACTAACTAATACAGATGAAGTGAGACCTAGCAGTTTTTATTTTATTTTAGTACTTTTTGTTAATTGAAATTCAACATTTGGGGTTGAATGACCACACTTGCATATCAAGTTGTTGTAAAATATTTTGAGTGATGCTACTTACCAACTCCATGTTGCTCATTCATTCTTTTAAATAATTTTCATTACAAAATTACTTTCGTGTTCAATTATTTTAAAGCATAAAATTTCTGAAAATATATATAAATAAACAAAAAACTTTGTGATTGCCTTGAGCCATAACAAAGATCGCTACCATGGCTAAAATATTGGTCATGTGGATCATTGCCATCAGCCATAACTAAAATAAGAAGGAAAATAGATCAAGGCTAGACATCAGAGTGTTTGTTATTTGTTCTTTTCAATATTGAAAGAGGTGTCATTTTCGAATTACTTGTTCTATATTCATAAAAAAGAAAAAGAATTCATGGTGTTTTTTTTATGGATTAAAGGGTGTGTTGAGTAATGCAACATATACATATAAATTTTTTTAAAAAGAATATGGGGCGAGTATTGAGTAAAATGGTGTTGTAGCAAAGACATTATATATACATACATATATATATATATATTTATTGTTGCTTGGTTCTAGCAGTTTTTAAAAGATCAAAATTAATCATATATCATGAAAAAAAATCATATCATGCAATTCAAATAATGTAGAATCAAAAGTTAAGATAAAAAAAGGCAATAACAAAATAATGAATAATTTTTGTGTTCCGGAGCTGGTGTATCATCCAATACCAATACGCATTGCTTGTAGGGTTATAGTATTGCATTGGGCCCACTTTACTGTGGGGTCAGATTAAACAACGTCACCGTTTTAGCCAAGTTACTATAAGAGGAATGATCTTATGGTGAGAAAAAAAAAACTAATAAAAGAATGAACGGCGAACGGAGGACATGCAACCCTTACCATTTCATCAGAGTAGAGAAAAACCATATTTTCCATGACTAAATTTTGTCCAATTTTCTTTTTGATAAATTTGGTTTGGGCATTTTCAGACTGACACATTTCCATAAATTTTCAAATCAAATTATTTCACAAAATAGAAAAAAACCTTAAAAAGTTAAAAAAAAGAAAAAGAGAAAAAACTGAAAATCTTCAGCTTCCCATTTTCGTAGTGCCTATATTCCTCAGAGACCTTCAATGCCCTCCCTTTCTCTCTCAAACTTCTGTTTCTCTCTCTAGAAATACACATTTTTTAATCTCGTACTCATCTGTTTGATAACTGAATTTGCATTTGGTAATCAAATAATCACCATTGAAAGAACAAACAAAAAGATTGGAGGGGGCATATATGGAGAGGAGGTTGAACATGCCCTCTGTTCTTATTCTTACAGTGCCTCCTCTCAGATCTTAATTTTCTTCAAGATTTGGCATCTGGGTTTTCATTAATCTGTGGGTACGGTGGGAATCTGATTTGGTTTTTTAATATTTTTTTCTAAATTGGTTGTGTGTTTGGATCCTGGTAAATTTTTCTGATTGAAATTTTTCTGTTTTTTTTTCATCATCTTTTTCTAGGTGTTCTTAATTCTGGGTCCAGTATTTGATCGGTGAAGGATCGGATGTTTCAAAATTGAATCCAGGAATACTTGTTTTGAGTCGTATTACAATCTGTGTTTGTAATATTTCAAAAGAAGGTACTCTTCTTTCTAGTTTGGTGGGTTATGTATTTATCTGCATTTGATTCCAGTTAGGTGGATGGATAAAAGGAGAGACTTTATTCGAGCTGTGGGTGTTGCTGTTGGATTGGCTTGAATATTTCTCTGCACTTCATTATGCTTCAATCTATTTAGTTTTGCTTATACTATAGAAATGTATCGGATCCATTATAAAATGCTCCATCTTTTTTGAATTGGTTTAAGATTGGATTTAAAGTTTGCATTTTTCTTTGAGTTGGTTTAAAGTGTGATTTGCATTTGCAAAATTTTATCAAGTTTGAATTGATGACGTACTGTTGCTTGTAGAGAAAATGCAATCCGATAGTGGTAAGTTGTTTATTGGCGGCATATCGTGGGACACAAATGAAGAGCGTCTGAAAGAGTATTTCAGCAGTTTCGGGGAGGTGGTAGAAGCGGTGATCATGAAGGATCGGACCACCGGCCGTGCTCGTGGTTTTGGTTTTGTAGTTTTTGCAGACCCAGCTGTTGCGGACAGTGTCATAATGGAGAAGCACAACATTGATGGGAGGATGGTAATCAAAATACTTTATTTTTGATGAATGTAATTGTCCTTGGATTGCACTTATATGTTCACACAATGACTATGCATCATTGTGCTTTTCTTTTTTAATCAAAGCAACTGTAAAGGGTAGTGCATTTCTTTATGGTAGTTTGGGTCTGAAATTGTACTCACTGGAATTCATTTCCTATTGTTCTGCATTTAACTAAATTTCAAACGCAGCAAGAGTAAATCATGGTTCTAGATATTTTGTCTTTCTTCTGCAGTTAGTTTAGTTAATGCATTACTTTGTTCTTCTAATGTGATTAATCAATTTATAGAGCTTGTATCATTTGATCTTTGTTTTTACCAGTGAATTCTCCATTCTCAGGTTGAAGCAAAAAAGGCTGTTCCCAGGGATGACCAGAATATTTTGGGTAGAACCAGTGGCAGCATCCATGGTTCTCCAGGTCCAGGTCGCACGAGAAAGATTTTTGTTGGAGGTTTAGCATCCACTGTCACGGAGAGTGACTTCAAGAAGTACTTTGAACAGTTTGGGACAATCACAGATGTTGTGGTGATGTATGATCACAACACTCAGAGGCCAAGAGGCTTTGGATTCATTACTTATGATTCAGAAGAGGCAGTGGACAAGGTTTTGCTTAAGACATTTCATGAACTGAATGGGAAGATGGTTGAAGTCAAGCGTGCAGTTCCTAAAGAGTTATCACCTGGTCCCAGTCGCAGCCCTCTTGGAGGATACAACTGTGGTCTGAGTAGGGTTAATAGCTTCCTGAATGGCTACACTCAGGGGTATAATCCTAGTACAGTTGGAGGCTATGGACTTGGTAGATTCAGTCCAGTTGCAAGTGGTCGAAGTGGGTTTCCTCCATTTGCTTCTGGTTATGGAATGGGTATGAATTATGAGCCAGGGTTGAACCCAGGTTTTGGAGGAAATGCAAATTTTAATAGTAATATCAGCTATGGACGGGGGTTGAGTCCTTATTATGTCAATAATTCTAATAGGTTTAGCAGTCCCATTGGGTATGATGGTGGTAATGGAGGAAACACATCTTCTTTTTTCAGTTCTGTGACTCGGAATTTGTGGGCAAATGGGGGGCTTAATTATGGAACAAACCCCACAGGTTCCAGTGCTTACAATGGATCCGGAAGTGGGAACATTGGAGGAAGTACATTTGGAAACACTGGAGTTAATTGGCGTTCTTCGGCAATTTCAGCTCAAGGTGGGGGAAATAATGTTCCGAACAATAGTGGGAGTCTTGGTTATGGAGCTGGTGATAACAGTTATGGTTTGGGAAGCGGAGGGTATGGAAGAAACAATGGAACAAGTGTGACCCCCACATCCTCATTTGCTGCATCAAATGGTGGTTTTGAAGGGGCATTCGCTGACTTTTACACTAGTAGTTCAGTTTATGGAGATCCCACTTGGCGTTCATCAAATTCCGAGCGAGATGGGCCTGGTCCCTTTGGTTATGGGCTCGGTGGTGCAGCTTCTGATGTTTCAGCTAAAAGTTCTCCTGGTTATGTTGGTGGTTATAGTGTTAATAAGAGACAGCCAAATACAGGTAATCGTCACTTAATTAATGTCTTATGCAACTTCTGTTTTATATCTTTTTTTGTGCTCTTCTTTTAGTTCTTTTGTTGTTGAAATACAGGGACCAGGGACCTTTTTTCCCCTCATAATTTGTATGGATGTTCATAAAACACCTCCAAACTTCTGAAATAGAGTGGAATTCTGGGATCCCAAACCAATCTTTAGCTACCTCCCAATTTGTATTGAGAATAACAATCTTTAGCTGAAAGAAATACAAAATTTCTAGGAACGTGCAGAGTCAAGTAATTTTCAGCAGAAATACTATTTAATTTGTGCAGGACAATTTGGGTCCAGTTCATATTGGTAACACATAATCTCACTCTTTTCTCGAGCTTGCTTGATTTGGCTATCTCTGCCCAGCATCCACAAGATTTAACTAATTTGAACTGTTGCATCCAAGCCATAATTCATGAAATCTAACTCTTCCCTAGCTGATGTTCCACAAAGTGGAGTACTTTATTACTGGATTAAATCTGGTTTAGCATACAATCCAAGAGAGGACTTCTGCTCGAGTGTGTAGGATTATTTGGTTATGGTCCATCTTGTTGACTATAACCATTTGAATATGGAAATATATTTTTAAGCTCATAGTTGTTCTGTATAATTCAGTTGAATTGGGTGACTGTCTAGTTAGGGGTAGATTGAGGTAATCATGATATTACTTATCTTAAAGTTGGACTCATCTCAATTTATGAAGCTCAACTCGTGAACTCCTTTATCCTATTGATTACGTTGACTACATCACTTTCTCCTCCTTCTATTGCTGTTGACATGTACACACATTACTTGAGTTGCCTAGGTGGTACTTTACTTGATGTGTCACCCTCTAGCATATTTTCCATGCAATTCTTATTAACTGCCTTATTTTGGATGATAAATGTGTTACCATGCAAATGATATTTTTTCACTTTTCTATATCTTCTATAAAGAGGCTTTGGTAGCCAGTTATTTGTGCTGGTCAGAAGTGTGTTGCTTTGGTCTCTGAGGTTTATTATGCTTTTTTGAAGTTTACTTAAGGAATGGGGTAACCATGGGACTTAAACATAAAAGAAAAAAGCTTTTAATGTTTTTGTTGTATAGGTTGTCATTTTATTTGGATTTTGTTGGTGTTGGAGTAGCTTGCCAGTGGCCTTTGCTACTTAAATAGATATGGTTATCAACCTCCTGGTAATTAGGGTGACGATGGTCCCAAATGGGTGTTGAATGTGCACTGTGCAGGGGTGTAGAGAAGATCAACCGTGTTTTATATAGTGAGATGGTGTTCATACTTGATAGAGAATTTTGTGATCTCCTCTGTTCGTGTTTTTGTTGATGCCAAAGAATCTTCTTCTCCCATTTGTTTTTGATAAGAAGATTACGCATCTTACATCAATGTCTCTTTCTGTGCCCGATGAACATTATGACTCTTTTGGAGTGTGTAGCTCTCATAGTCTCTACGGGTGTGTGCGTTTTGGGTAATAAACGTTTGGTTTTTCTTTCTTTTAAGAAAAATACATAAAATGGTTTTTCTTTTGTGTTATTAATATGCCGCGCTGCTTGTCTCTCTATTATGTGATCCCTAGCCCTCAATGGTTGAAATATCTAGTAGATCCTTGTTGCAAGGAGTTCTTGACCTTGTCTTTATAGAGATCCAGCATATGCCTTTCACAAAATAAAGTTGCTTCTTTATAGAGATCCAGCATATGCATTTTTAAATAGAAGCTTTCTTTTTCTATAGTTGGGGCACACCTTAATGGAGCATTGAAGTTTAGTATAATGTAATTCGGTGCTACGAGTTTCGTCTTTGTATTTTGTTCCTTTAATATGATCAAGGAAGAAACTGAGGGAAATCTAGAAATCTAAAGGAGTCTAAGAAATAGACTATTGCGTCTACAGATACATATTCAGCTTAGCCTATGGTGAAATGTGTCTGGGCTCTCTCTATTTTTCTCGTCTGTGTGTGTTTCCTCATATACTGACAATATTTTATTTTTTGTGTTCTATATATTCCACCAAATTGCAATGATTTCCTCTGTATCAACCTTTAAATTCTGTCTGTTAGCTTAAGTAATAAGTCACTAATCAGGGGCTGAAATGGAGAGGGAAGGTGTAGTTGGGCTGAAAAGTATGGTTACTGTCTCATGAATACATGTTTAAGTGCTGTGATTAGGAGTGTGTATTAAGGTAATAACAGAGAGATGAGTTAAGAGGGACAGAATTTTGTTGATTATTGAAGATATCATTTCGTGAAATTTGTTATACGGTCTTGCCATCGTGTAACAATTGACAACTTAGATTATAATGGTTGTATATTGCTTGTTTGATGTAATCATGACACAGTTCTAAAAGAGAAGCATGCTGTTGTCAGTACGCAGCTTAAGATCTCAGATGGGATGCCCATTCTAACTTAGTGAAGTTTTGTATTGTTTTAGCATTCATTTGAAATGTTATTTCACTGTCCTAGTCAATATTTCAAAGGCTGTAGACAAGAGTTGGCTGATGGCCACAGGCAACACATTTGTAATTCATGTCGAAGTGCCAAATATTTATATTTTCTTGGTTTGAATTTTGCTGGAAGTCATTGCCATGGATTTAATCCTAACTGGAAGCCATTGGTGTTTTTACATGCAACTTTATACAATATAGTATGGATACTTGGATAGATGGTAACTTGTGGAAAATAGATTCTTTTCAAGTATATGCTTGTGTGCGTGTATAGATAACTGAAAATGTGTTGCTCACTTAATTGTCGATATGTGTGTGTCGATACTTACAAGTTGCATTTCTCCTACTGTTTTTCAGGAATTGCTGCCTAGGATCATCATTTCTGATATCTCGACATTGTAGGTGAAGATAATCTGGTGAAGCAGGTGAAATGTGAATTTTGCACACCACCCTCATTTATATATTTCAGTAAAAGAAATTTGGTTAGTAAGAGCTAACTGGGAGTGCCTGTTTTGGAAGAGTTAAAGTTAGAGTTAGAAGTTAAAATGGATTTTGTGTTAATGCTTTTGAGTTTTGAGTTACCATTTTAGGTTTTTTTGTTTTGGTCTTTGAGTGAGATGTAAAATCAGATTGCGGGATATAGTCAGAAGTGTATCATGCATCTCCGGTGAGGCGGCGATACCCAAAAGAAAAAGAAAAGAACCAAAAAAACAAAAAGAGATAGACTGATATATATTTTTTTTCCCTTTAGAATTTTATCTGTAAAATCTCTTGGCCAAGTTATGGGTTCTGGTCAGGGATTGTTTTTTGTTTTTTTTTGTTTTCATTCTTTTGTCCCATCATTTGGTTTGTTTTTATTGTACCTGAGATTAATGTTGATTTACTAGTGTGAAACATTTTAAGGGCTACCCATCTAGGGACCCCATGAATAAGTAATCGCATATTCTGATTCTTACTCTTTGGGAATTTTGTTGGCCAAAAATGCCTTCGAGATTCTGAATGCAACAATTTTGATGCAGTCGGGGGGTGAGGCGCCTGTTCTTGTGGTCCAGGACCAGGACCCTTCCCAAAAACTAACCTACTTTTTGTGAAAGTCTATATATATATGGCCGATGATAAAAAATAAAATAAAAGAGATTTTAATACCTAATTTGTGAGAAACTCTTCCAGAATTTTTCCCCTCTTGATCATTAATTTTTAGTCGGTTTTATTTAAACTCCAAATGATTCTTTTATTTCAATGAAAAAAACGTTGCTTCATGTATCTTCTTTTTATAATCTTTAAACAAAAAAAAAACTTAAAAAACATAAATTAAAAGAAGAAATTAATGCAGCCATGGCGACTGCCATAGCGTAGGCGGCGGTAGCAGCCATGGAAGTGGTGATGGCTGACGTTAAGTTTGAACAAAATTAGGAAGAAGAATAAACTCTGTTGAAAGATCATTGTGAATTTAACAACTCTTAATCTATTCATAAGTTCTATAGGGAAAAGGAAAATTTGTGTAAAGTAGTTGAGTGGAAGCGATAGAACAACATCATTGCAAATGTATAAGCAAACCAGAGAGGTACTCATTAATTCAACACAACAGAAAGAAAGAAAAAAGTGTTCATCCAAAAATAAATACAAAAAAAATAAGGAAATTGAAAGTACATTATCTTTTTTATGATCATCTGTCCTTCAGAAGTTTAAAACTTTCACACAAAATTGTTTTTGGTTTCTGAGACAAAGCACAAGGCCCCTTTCAACATGTAGGCTGCTAAGCTCAATGTTTTCCAAAAACGAATGCGGCTCTTGAAAATTCTCATACAAAATCTGAGTGCAAACGACAGCTTGTTTGGAATTGGTAAGAAATTGAGATAAACTTTTATTAGAATTTTAAAGAATATATAGGCCCATATGTGGGCTACATCTGATACATTAAGTTGGTTTCTGGAAACCCAAGAGGGAAAAATTACACTAAAAACCACATGATTTATAGGCCTTGTGGCAATTTGTTACCTGGAAAGAAAAATTAAGTCACATTTTCACCTCAATTAAAGTTTTGTTGCAATGTGCCACTTACGGCTAACTTGGTCTATTTTTCCATCCAAAAAAATTGAAGGTGCTATACACGTGACCCTTCAAAAAAAGTGTGACGATAGTTTGACAGACGTCAAAATATCCTTAGAAAAGGGTCACCAACTTTTTGGACAGAACAATAGATGGAGTTAGGTCGTAAATGGTACACTGCAACAAAATTTTAATTGAGGTGACAATACGATTCAATTTTTACTTTCAGTGGCAGTTTACACAAGGCCTATACTTGAAGAGTACAATTAACATTTGACCTCACAATTGTTTCTAAAGCTGAGGATTGAAGATATCTTGGGTTTGGGTTCAAGAACAGAAATCTCATTAATAACATCAACTTTGGCTGCTTCAAACTGCTCATCCTCTGCAGAAAAAGTATAGTTTGATGTTGAAGTAAGAGTTCAAAGGATGAAGATGGAGTGACAGAAGATTTGAAGAGAAAAATGGTTCCTACCTTTCTCAATGGTGAAGTCATCAAAGAAACGGAGAAGCTTGGTCCTATTTGTGATTAGCACATTAACAATCTCAGGAGGCTTATTTTGGTTTGCAACAAATAGCTGTCAAAAGAACAAAAAAAAGAAGAAGTTAATAACACTTTTAATAGATAATGCCTCAACTTGTTGTAATGCTGAAAAGGGTTAGAACTTGATATTGATCTGCACAAACCTTGAACACATGAAAGGTCTCTAACTTGATTGTCTTCTTTGGATCCTGCAAACATGTGATGCACAAACAAAAAAGCCATAGTTGAGTCAAATAAGTGACTTAACAAAAAGCTAATGGCAGGCATGAACATGATGTGAGAGAGAGTTTATACCCTAAGAAGGTTCATCAGGATTCTCATGTTATCCAGAGAGCAGACATATCGAACCATCACAGCAGAGTTGGAGCGATCGAGCAACACATCTCCTAACAGCTGAAACAATTATGACATGTATGTCAATTATTATGAACACAGAACATGGTTCTCATGATGAACATAAACATGGTTCATGCAAGAGTCTCAGAACAAAAAAAAAAAAAAAAAAAAAAAAAAAAAAAAAATCTGTAAATAACTTGATGGCCTGGCGTTTGGTGATATAATTTGAAGACTCAAGCAACTGAGAATTGTACTCTTGGAAAAACTGGAGCCAGTAAACAGAGGGAAAAAAGTATTCAGATATTGACAATGATATCATTCTCTATTGGAACTTATGAAATGTAGAAAAACTAAAAATAAAGTAACTAGATTGAAAATTTCAATCATCACATTCTCAGATTCCCTGACTGCCCAAATTTCTAAAAACATCCTTTTCCACAATATCATTAGTCTGTAGTATTATGATACAAGATAAAAGCCACCAAAAGAACCAGAAGATTTCATGTGGATTATGAAAGCTTACCCACTCATAATTTTTAGAAAGAAATTGAGCAACAGTTGATTTGTGCCTTGTCATCAGCTCCTGTTCAAGTATGGCAACGAGTCAGTTGATTTGTGGATTGTGAAGCATAATAGTGACTGTTTCTTAAATTTTGATAAGCTGTTCAAACTTTACCAACCTTGAAAGTAGCTGCAGCATCTGATGCTATGTTGAAATTTGGAGTTTGTATATAATCAAAAAACTTCTTCATGTGGTCTGATTCCAAGACATACCTGTGAAATCATCCCATTGAAAATTAAAAATTGTTTGATAACCAAACTCACTCTGCACCACTAATTTATCTGGAGATGTACAAATTAGATAAAGGGTTACCTTGCAACATTCTGGTGACGAATGCATTCCCTTGAAATTGCACCATATGACAGAGCAACATCGCCGCTGTCTTCATAGCTAAACCAAACCAAACCGAACTATTCATTAACATTTTATTGAATTCAGTACTGCACATTTTCTAACTTCAATATTGATAATTTCTTACCCTTTTATCAGAATGTCCATAAGATCTATATTCTTTTCCAAGTACTCTAAAGCAATCAATTGGGATTGAACTCGTTGCCTTAGCAAATTTGCAATGACATGAGTGGCGTTTTTACGAGCCTGCAGCATTTGCATACACAGTAACATAAATGTCAAATCTCTAAAGCATGCAATACAGTAGCTAAGCTGATATGCATATGCTTACCCCCAAGTTGAGCTTTGAGAGGCAAACAATGAGAAGCCTGAACGTGTCCCCTCTGAAAAACTCCTGAGTAAGTTGTGCACAAGAGTCTTTATTTGGCTCTGATTCCTCATCACCATATAAAACTGTTCTTATCTCCAAGATTGCTTTGCTCAGTTCATCCATCTATATAACAAATTTCAAAGTAAATGCCATCAAAATCCTAGTCCATATAAACATACAAACTAAACAATTTCATTAATCTCAAAATCTCACTCACCCTAAATTTCTACACACAAGCTAACCTCCACAACCCCAAATTGAAAAATTTCATGACATGAAATATCCTTTTTTTTTCTTCAAAAAAATATGACATGTAATATCAAATAGATTACAAAACATGACAACGGGTCTAGCCCAGTGGAAAAGAGCCTTGACTTGCAGTGGTCTCAGTTTCGAATCCCATGACACCTTTAGAGGATCGCTTGTGAAAACAATAGTACAATAGGAAATTAGCAATGTGAAAACTGATCAAAACAAAAACCATACCTTTTCTTTGCGCTTTTGCTCGCGTGCATCCATGTTCCGATCAAGAAACATGAGTAGCTCGTGCGTGTGCTTTACAAGCTCCAATGGGCTTCGCGCCTTTGGCTTGAAAAGACCCTTCATTGTCAACTTTTTCGCCATCAGACCACACACTTCATCAACCTCCTCGAACGTTTCCTACTTTGTATTTGGGAATCACAACTTGAGAATGTTTAGCGTTTTAAGAGGAAGACATTGAGATTGGAAACTTGGAATCTAACAATCCATGACAGTTTTTCTGGGACGACAAAAAGTTGTTAGAATCTACAAATATAGCATCTGTTGCAAAAGTGGATTTCCACCTTTGTAGCACTTGTACTCCACCTTCGAATCAAGTTGTGACACGTGGAACGTAAAAGAGCGTGGGGCCCAATCCGCTTTGATGGATATTGGCCTAGCAATGAGGATGAGGGGCTCAGATGCTTTGGAAAGCAAGATGTAAATTGGATTTACAACTACTGCAAGCAGAAAATAGTAATACAAGCTGAGACAGAGTTCAATTACACAAAGGATAAGAACAATGGTGAGGAGAAAAAAAAAAAAAAAGGGAGAAAAAAAAAAAAAAAAAAAAAAATTCTTTCACACGGAGATAACGAACTGAGAGTTTCTCTCCAAAAATAAGGGAGCATTTGTATTTGTTTTTCTTCTTGTTGTTGTATTGGTTGTTGGTATTTTTAGCTTAAAATTATAAAGTTACGTAACAAGAAAGTAGGATTATTAATTTATGTGTCGTTTTAAAATTAGTGTTAAACCTTTTGAATTTAGAGTTTATATTGAAAAAACAATTAAGCCATGGTCTAAAACAACGAAACTTTTTATAATTAGTGTTAATTTTTTTTTAAAAAATTTCGACATTTATAATTGAACTCGATGTTGCCCTTTCTCAACAATATCACTTATAAAATAGAAAAAACTTATTCATATTTAGATTTGTAAATTGTCTCAAACATTTCATTCGTTTTTATAAACATTTGATTGCTAATTACAAATTGAGATTTGTATTAAAAAAAAAGATTTAACTCCAAGTTTACAAGTTATAGGCTAAACTATAAGGGGATGAAAGTTTTTCACACACACATTATCAAGTTGTAATTGGGAGTTGGAATCTGAATGCTAGGTGGGTCCTTTGAAATTTTATTTTTGAAATAAATAGTATAGCCGCGCGGCTATACTATTTTAATAGTACAACCGCACGGCTATACTCTCTAAAAATAATATTTAATTAGTACAGCCGAGCGGCTATACTATTTATAAAAAAAAATTATAAATAAAAGGGACCGCCTACAAGCTTCGCCTTTTTCCACCCCGTTGGCAATTTGGCTCCAATTTTATTAATTTTTATTTTTGGTGAGATTTGGCTCCAATCAGAAGCGGCTCAGTGCCTCACCCTTCAAGGCGTCGTCCGAGAAAAACCCAATTGGCCAAACCTCCACCACATACGAAGTCACAAACGCCACTGTCACTCTCAAACTCTCCCCGTAGCTCACAGCCCTTTGAAGTATACATCTTCATACTCACTTTCAAAGAAGATCCAGATGTTAATTCTTCAGAGAATGGCCACTTCTTCTTCTTTCCTTTCAACCCCTCTCCTAAAGTCTTCTTCTTCTTTTCCCACCCATTTCCTTTCCCCTCTTAAACACTGCGTTTCAGCACCCAGCACAGAGTTCAGGGCTCTTGCCCTTTACAGGAACAGAAATGGAGTCTCCACGTCTTCGGCGGCTGTGGCTACGGAGGCTCAGGTTTCGACCCAAGACGACAAATTGAAGGAGACCCAGAAGGAGAAATCTGATAAGCTAGAGAAAGTCGTGCTTCCAACCAACGAGTCCTCTGAGAGCCTTCTCAGAATTCGCCACACGGTTTTGTACTTTGCTTTTGAATTTTTTCTTCTTCTTTTCTTTTGATGGGCCATTCTATTTAATATATTTTTTAATTGGGTTTTTGGTGGTTTATGCTGTTCTTTTGGTTGCTCTATTGGTTTTAGTTGTTTGGTTATTATGCTAATGCGAGTGTCATATTGAACTAGGAGGTACATTCAGGTTGAAATTTCTGAACTTTTAGGTGCTCGGGAAGTAATGCTTTTTAAAGTTGTATGCTTTTGTACCACCACTTCCAAATTCCAATTCTATGTTATTAATTGTCACCTAGAATAGTTCTATCCATTTTGTTATAGAAAAATGAGGAAGTGAGAAAGAGGGACCAAAAAAACCATAACTTTTGGGTAATTTGATTGTTTAGGACTGAAAAAAATGGGTCTACAAGAGTAAGATAAGCTGAGGAATTTTTTTTTCCGGAGTTGGGAATTTGAGAAGATACTTGGGTTTTATGTCTTATGTATAGTGTTAACTATATTTCTTTCCATGTATGTCCTGAGAATTTGGTATCAAGGGTGCCTTTTCCGTTGTTATGAGGATGAAATGCTTATATCTGCATCACTGCAGTGTGCACACGTGATGGCCATGGCTGTTCAAAAGCTCTTCCCAGATGCAAAAGTGACAATTGGTCCGTGGATAGAAAATGGGTTTTACTATGATTTTGATATGGAGCCTTTGACAGACAAAGAGTTGAAGAGAATCAAGAAGGAGATGGTAAGCAGAATTTATGTATCAGTTACTATATTTTTACCAAACTTTTGGAACCATGAAAGCATTGCAAACTATTCATTAGCCTTTTTACGTCGTTTGTAGGATCGCATCATTGGTAGAAATTTACCACTTATAAGAGAAGAAGTTTCAAGAGATGAAGCTCAGAGAAGAATAACTGCTCTCAATGAACCATACAAATTGGAAATTTTGGATAGCATTAAGGAAGATCCCATTACCATATATCATATTGGTAAGGGTTTCACCATTTTAAGCCTCAATGTAGAATCAAAGGTGATGATTTCATATGCAGGAACTGTTCATAAATGATTTACTAAATAAAGAAAACAAATTAATCAGCTATTTCTTTTGACCTACACAGTGGTATGTGTTGAGAGTCAGAAGATGGAAATTTATAGGAAGACAAATTGGTGACAGAAAAAAAGAGAGGACAGGGTGTGCTCAGGGAAAAAGATGTTGGTGGTGCAAGTGTTCTCATTAAAATGAGTTACTGATATGGGGATCTTATCTGAGGAATCTGTTGCTCGGGCTAATTAAACTATACATATGTTTATACATTTGCATGCACTCGGATTTGATTTTGTTTTGAACTAGCATCTAGTTAAATTAGAATGTCTTTTATATCATAATCCCTTATGTTATACTAAATCCTTCATAGGTAATGAATGGTGGGACCTATGTGCGGGACCTCATGTTGAATATACTGGAAAAATTAACAGAAAAGCTGTTGAACTTGAGTCTATTGCTGGTGCTTACTGGAGAGGGGATGAAAAGAAACCCATGCTGCAGAGGATCTATGGAACTGCATGGGAGAGTGAAGATCAATTGAAGGCATATCTTCATTTCAAAGAGGAAGCTAAACGTCGAGATCACAGGCGCCTTGGTCAAGTACTTGACCTGTTTTCTATACAGGTACTCAAATTGAATTGCTCTGAATCTCTTTATGCTGTTTATACAGGTTTAACAGTTAAGTAGTGTGATTAATTGCAATCATCTGGTATGAGGATTCTTGCATTGAACATTTTAGTTGGTGAATTTTTACAGAATGATGCTGGTGGGGGTTTAGTGTTCTGGCATCCAAAGGGTGCTATTGTGAGGCATGTAATAGAAGATTTGTGGAAAAAGATCCACATAGAACGTGGTTATGATCTGCTGTATACTCCACATGTTGCAAAGGCAGATCTTTGGCAGATAAGTGGTCATCTGGATTTCTACAAAGAGAATATGTATGATCAGATGAATATTGAGGATGAACTTTACCAACTTCGACCGATGAACTGCCCCTATCACATCTTGATTTACAAGAGGAGGCCTCACTCTTATCATGATTTTCCTATTCGAGTTGCTGAGTTGGGAACAGTATATAGATATGAGTTATCTGGAAGCTTACATGGCCTTTTTCGTGTAAGAGGTTTTACTCAGGTATGCTGTTAGTATCTCCCCTCCCTCTCTTGGCCTGTGCTATGAAGTGTATTTTGTTTAACCTCAGGACCATTTTGCAGGATGATGCACACATCTTTTGTCTAGAAGATCAGATTAAAGATGAAATCAGGGGTGTCCTAGATCTTACCGAAGAACTTTTACTGCAATTTGGCTTCAGCAAATATGAAGTCAATCTCTCTACGAGGCCAGAGAAATCTGTTGGAGATGATGATATATGGGTGAAAGCAACATCTGCCCTCAGAGATGCTTTGGATGATAAGGGTTGGAGCTATCAAATTGATGATGGTGGTGGTGCGTTTTATGGTCCCAAGATTGATCTTAAGATTGAAGATGCTCTTGGAAGGAAGTGGCAGTGCTCAACTATACAGGCAAGTCCTCAACTTGTGACAGGGCGAATTTTAATGTGTGCGTTTTTTTTTAATTAGCAGTCTCTCCATCTCTCTGTCTCATTTTGTAAAATGTTCATTGGAGATTCTAAGCATTTTTTTTTTGAATTGATCATATTTCATGGATATGTTTAATTGACTAAAACCACTTTATTATTTTCTTTTTAAATTGTTTGATCTTTTTTATTTATTTATTTAAAATTTACCGTTCCACAAACTGTGCAGGTTGATTTTAACCTACCACAGCGTTTTGACATAACATATGTTGACTCAAACTCGGAAAAGAAGCGGCCTATAATGATTCATAGAGCTGTTCTTGGGTCCTTGGAGCGTTTCTTTGGAGTCCTTATAGAGCATTATGCTGGGGATTTTCCATTATGGCTTTCGCCAGTACAAGCTCATGTTTTACCAGTTACTGACACTCAGGTACGCAAAGTAGGTTGCACATTTAATGTTTCAAAAAACTCAACCCTCAACACCAACATACTCTTTGGTTTCCCCATGAAATTTGAATGGCTGAACTTACATAGGATCTATTCATTTATCTCACGAGTGATTGGCCATACCATGAATTACAAACTTGTAATTCATTCAAAATATATTGTTTACGAGGGTATACACTCCAACACTGCAAAGTGATGGATCAATTTAAAATGACGTGCAAAGGGGCCATTCAAATTTCTTTACACATGCAAACCAACGTTAAAGTCAATGTTCCTTGTGTTCCTAACTTCTATTATCTAGGAATTGAGACAGTCATTTTATTTTATTTTCTGTTACTATGAGATGATTATCTTTGCATTGAAGCAAAAGTTTAAATTTTTGTACAGCTTGATTACTGCAAAGAGGTAACCAAAAAACTGAAAGCAAATGGTATTCGCGGTGAACTTTGCCACGGTGAACGCCTGCCAAAACTGATTAGAAATTCAGAGATGCTGAAAATCCCATTGATGGCTGTTGTCGGTGCCAAAGAAGTTGAAACTGGCACTGTTACATTAAGATCCAGGTTTGGTGGGGATCTTGGCACCATGGCAATTGATGATTTTGTCAGTACAATCAAGTCGGCCATTGAAAGCAGAGTGTCAATTTGAAGTGCTTGTGCTTGCAGTTGCTGAAGGGTGGTCATCCCATTGATTTTGAAAGGTGTCTAGTCACAGGAAAAGGCAAAAACGAAGCAGAGTTGATAACTAGAGCAATTTTGTTGCATTTGTCCTGTACCATAGTAGCATTGTACCCATTTATTGTTTAGTCAGTGCCGAGATGGATTCATCATATTGAAGATTCATTTGCAGTGAGAGCTTGAAGTTGGCAACGATGCAGAAAGGTAATCAAAGCTTGAATCTTGTCAAAGAGCTCATGCTTCCCAAATTCATTACAGGTTGCACTTATATTTGTATATATTCACAGACCAAAGGGCAATAATGTCAGCCAGACGTCGATTAACTGTTTACCTGGTTTGCATTTGGAACTGGATGGCCTGATGAAACATTGTTTTTTTCTTTTCTTTTCATACTTCTTTGATACCTATCGACTTTGATGTTTTCTTGCTATAGTTTGAAAAAAATTGACAGTCGATAATGACTTTTTAGGGGAAGGGTGATAAAACATTGATTGTGCATACAGGGGTTTGTGTGGTTCAATTTCAAACCATTCATTTATTGGCTTTTTATCACAAAACGTTCCGTGAGATTTGCGAAATTATCAGATTGCATCCTTTATGTTTTTTTGTGTTATTTATGGTTCTTAAGGTTAATACGTGTGCTAACAAATAGTCATTGTCGTTAGGTTCTGTCCAAAAATCTGTTAAATTGATGATGTGGCACACATGTGAGTCTCATATATCTAATGATATGATGCCACGTAAATAAATAAATAAAAAAATTAAATTTTTAAAAATAAAAAAATCCATAAAAAAAAAAAAAAAAATGAAAAAAAAAAAAAAAAAAAAAAAAACCAAAAAAAAAAAAAAAAAAAAAAAAAAAAAAAAACAAACCACCTCCTCCATTGCACCAAACCCCCACATCGAGCCTCCTTCCAACCCTCTATCCCAAATCAACACCCATAAGCAAACCCAAACCTTGATATGCCATGAACTCCCCCTCACCCACTGCCCGTCTAATCTCCACCACCAAAGACCAAAATTGTATGCTGTAATTATTTTTATAATACAAAATTGGGGTGAAATTACATGAATTCTTGCTTGTTTGCGAATTCCCTAAAAATTCTGGTACTCGATTCTATTTTGTTGCTGCCATCTTCGGAGTCGTTGGTAGAGTTGAGGAGATGTTGGTTAGTAAGGCAAAATCCGGAGTGGGTTGGGTGGGCTTAGTGGTTGTCTGGGTTTGGTTGTGGGGGAGGGGGAGTAGAGTTTAGGGTTGGTTGCTGTCAAATAAAGAGAGGAGGGAAGAGAGACAAAGAGGGATAGAAAAGGAAGACGGCGGGGCAGTGGTGCGGAGGGTGGGTGAGGATAGGGTGCGGCTATTGGAGGTCTGAGAGGGAGAGGGAGGGGAGGGGGAGACTGGTTGGGGTTGGGGTTTAATGCGATGGAGAAGATGATGGTTATTTTGTTTTGGGGACATTTTGGAAAAAGCAAAAGGAGAGAGAAAAATTTTAAAAGAAGCAAAAATGGACAAAAATGCCCTTATTTATTTTTAGATTTCCTAAGGAATCCAATATATTTGCATGTCTTTGATTTGAAAGTTGAGCGGTTTTTTTGTCTTTTTTGAAAAAGTTTTGGCTTTTTCCAAAAGTGAAATTTTTTTTATGTCTAAAACCTAAAAAACCTTTTTGGGGGATTTGTTTTTTTAGGTTTTTATATATTTTTTTTTCTTTTTTGTGAGTGAGTTGTTTTTTGTTTTTTTTTTTTTTTTTTTTTTTTTTAAAAATAAATGTATAAATTAAATATTATTTATTTTTATGTGGCATCATATCATTGGATACGTGAGACCCACATTTGTGCTACGGAGAGGACTATTTGTGAGTGCACGTATTAACCTTAAAGACCATAAATGACAAAAAACAAATATAAAGGACGCAACTTGATAATTTCGTAAACCTCTAGGATGTTTTGTGATAAAAAGCCTTCATTTATTTGATCAAGTGGTCCTAACATTATTTATTAATGTCCAAGCCATAGAGCTTTCCAAGATAACCATTCAAAATATCCAATTTGCGTGGTGATATGAGACTTTCTAATGTGCATTAAATGTAATAGAGCAATGAATTAATAAGCTTTACCCTGTTGGAGGCCAATAAGCACTTCCACACACGTGGGTTCTCGGAAAAAGCTAGACATGCATATTTGTACTTGTGAGAGGTTAGAGGTGCAAAAGCCTGGTTAGCAGGTAAATTAAGAAACTATAGCACCTAAAATTGGAGGATAATTTGAGGAGTTAAAGAAATCATCACCAAAAACATGAGGACCTCATAGATTTAGTCCACATAAAATTAGGTTCAAGATTTTGTGGTTTTCAGCTTCCTTAACTACACTATATAACGAAACCCTTCATTGAAAAAGTACTCAAGGTTATTAGAATTTAGAAGCTCAAAGTTGTTATACAAAAGAAGCCTCACATGGGTTCAAAATTTATTCTTGGAACTACATTCTTTTTGTTCTTGATATCATTTTCCATAAAAGCCAGAGCTGCAGATTTTGATATCAAGAAGTATGGAGCCAAGGCTGATGGCAAGACAGATGATAGCCAGGTAAAACTTTTGTGCACATTATACAAATGTGATATTTCTCTTCCCAGATATTTAGTACGTTGTAAATGTTGTCAAACTATGAATGCGGGTGTATATCTTAACATCTTAGTAAACTTTTGAATATGCTATTTATTTTAGGCTATTAATAGTGCTTGGAAAGAAGCATGCGCATCTACAACTCCGAGCACGGTTCTGATAGCAAAAGGAAACTACATGGCTGGTCCAGTGAAGTTTCAAGGGCCCTGCAAAGCACCGGTTAGCATTCGGGTTGAAGGAACCCTGCAGGCTCCGGCAGAGCCAGAAAAGCTCAAGTCACAAGATGGCTAGGTTGTTTTCCGAAATATTGATGGGTTAACAGTCTCAGGAGGTGGCACTTTTGATGGCCAAGGATCAATAGCTTGGTCCAAAAATGATTGTGCCAAAACTGGAAAGTGCAACTCACTGCCTATAGTAAGTTTTTTAAATTTGAAGTGCGCGTTTTTTGGATCAATTTCTTGTGAGCTAGAAACGGAGGCTAACAAATAGAATTTGCTCAATTGGGTTCCTTGAACGCAGAACATAAGATTCACAGGGCTTACCAATTCACACATTCAAAACATAACATCTTCGAACAGCAAGCTGTTCCACATAAACGTCTTGAACTGCAAAAACGTGACACTTCAACATGTGATCATCACTGCCCCTGGTGAAAGCCTAAACACAGATGGAATCCACATTGGCCGGTCATTGAACATTAACATCACCGGCGCAGAGATCAAAACTGGTGATGATTGCATCTCTCTTGGCGATGGAAGCCAGCAAATAAACATTGAAAAGGTGAAGTGCGGGCCTGGCCATGGCATCAGCATTGGGAGCCTAGGCAGGTACCATGATGAACAACCTGTCACAGGAGTCACAGTGAGAAACTGCACCATATCAAACACTTCAAATGGCGTGAGGGTCAAGACATGGCCAGCTTCTCCAAATGGTGTGGCCTCAGATTTGCACTTTGAGGACATAATTATGGAAAATGTGAAGACCTCCCCTGTTCTTATAGACCAAGAATACTGTCCAAATGGCCAATGCCAAGCAAAACTCCCGTCGAAAGTTAAGATCAGCAATGTGAGCTTCAAGAACATTAGGGGCACTTCTGCTGATCCTGTTGTTGTGAAGCTTGCTTGCAGCAAAGGCATTCCTTGCCAGAATGTGCAAATTAGTGACATCCATTTGACATACAATGGGAAAAATGGTGCTGCCACATCTGTATGTACTAACGTCAAGCCCACTATGACTGGCCAAATTTTTCCACCTGCTTGTGCAAAGACTGCAGCTTTAAGGTGATTTAATTGCATCTTAAAGAGATGATTAAAAGAAATTAGTAGGAATTTAGATGAAAATAATCTGCAGGGCGCCCCTTCCATGCTTAATTGGAATGGTGGGTGGTGGACTACACATATGCAACAGTATAGATGTTATCTTCTGTATACATGTATTATGGATTTAGATTAATGTACTATTGTTATTCATGGGAAAGAAATAGTAGAGAGATGTAAAACTTACTCACTGTTAATCATTTTCAACATCACCATTTACTTGATCCACCAAACAAGGCTCCTTCTGTTCCATTATTTGAAATCTCAAACTTGACATAACCACAATCAACCCTCAATAGTTGATGGGGATCGGGATCAGGACACAGGTCACCAACCACATACACGAGCACCGAAATCTAGGACTAGTGCAAACTCACATATATCGTAGCAAATCCATGCCACAAATAAACTATTTCATTAATCATCAATATTCAATTCTCTACAACTATTAAAATAGCCTTATTTATAGGCTTTACAAGACTTAAGCACCAAGACTGCTTGGTCCAAAAATAAACTAATTAATTATAAAATCACACATAAATAATAAAAGATATCCTAAAACTACCTAAATAAGAAAATAACAATATATCATGAAATAACTAATTAAATGACAAATATCTATCTTGATCCACTCCTATGCTACTGCATCAATAGCATTCTCTCTCTTGCAATGGGTTCACCCAAAAACCAATTGGAGAAGTAGCAGAGGCCGTTGAGCCCAACACGTGCCTTGCTATATAAGAGATATGACCTCTTGGCTTTAATTTGAGCTGCATATCCTACACGTGCCCTAATGTGAGACTTTTTATCTTTACATTCACACACGCCCCTCGCACATGTGGCGAATTTTCAAGCCTAACACGTGGACAACACATGGGTGACGCGGAGCACGTATGGTTGTTGTGCTTTCACACGTGTAACCCGCTCTGATATCATGAAGGAAGTTGAGGTTCCATCCCAAAACCAATTGGCAATGGGGAGTAGCCCAACTCTTTATAAGCCCTTGTTAGGTCAACTTTCCAATATGAGACTTTTTACCTTCACATTCTTACAGTAGGAATATAAGACGAAACATCCCCGATTGGGTCTCAACTGTTGGTAAAGCATGCCTTAGATAAGGCCCTCACTTACTCCTTATAAATCCAGGCCAGGTCCCTTACTTTTCAATGTCAATATAAAACAAATATCCAACAGTTATTTCTCTTGTCACGACTACTTTGTTACAAATTATGGTCAAGAATTTATTAGTTTGATTAGTGCGTTCGGAAACAATTTTTGGTTTATGAAAAATCAATTTTGTGTGAGTATTTTTTTGTTAATCTTTGCACCAAATTGGATTATAACAGGTTTAGTACTTTTGGTTTATAAGTCATCCATGTCATAAATCTTTTCTTTCTAACCTGACGTAGTCTTGGAAGAAAAAATCTTTTGCCCAAATTGGAAACTGAGCCAAGAGCCATTGTAGGTAATTCATGTTCTAAAGCTGAGCAGCTTAATTAATTACTAATTATAGGATGGTTGACCTACATTCAACTTCTTAATTGGCCAAATAAATATTAACGGTGATGAGCTTTCCGACGGGAGTATAAATTGGGCTGAAAGCAATGGAGTTTCATCATACTCCAAACATAAAGGAAATAACAGTCTCAAGATGGGTTTGAAACTGAAAAATTTCTTGCCAATGTTCGTGTTCTTGTCGTTAGCATCCACAGCTAAAGCTCAATCTGCTGCCTTAGATGTGACAAGTGCAAAATATGGTGGAAAGCCAAACTCTGATATTACCAAGGTAACAAAAACATTTGTATATATTCATATTTAGTTTTGATTAGAATTTGTTTCTACAATTGTTTGCCAAACTAAATCATTAACAGTTTTAAATCTGCGTAATGTTAATTAGGCTTTAGAGAAGGCTTGGACAGATGCATGTGCATCAACAGCACCAAGTAAAATTGTTGTTCCAAAGGGAACATTCAAGTTTGTAGGAACAACTTTTAAAGGTCCTTGCAAGGCTGCTATTGAGTTTCAGCTCCAAGGAACATTGCAGGCTCCAGCAGATGGCAGCCAGCTCCCGAAGGACGACACTTGGATTGGTTTTGACCACGTTGACGGGCTCACCTTGTCAGGTGGTGGAACTTTTGATGGCCAAGGAGCACTGTCTTGGAAAAACAATGATTGCAACAAAAATAGACAATGCAAATCTAAACACATTGTAAGATGATTTAATCTTACCATGTTGTTTTATATACTTGAAAATCTACCTGTGTCACATAGGAGCATTTGCGAAATCTTGCTCATTGATCAATTCTTGACTTGATGATACGTAATCCAGGTTCATAGCCCGACAATATAAACATATTTGTGTTTGTTTGGTTTTCTCAATATATGCAGAATTTGAGGTTCCACTTCCTCACCAATTCCAAAATTTTGGACGTAACTTCAAAAGATAGCAAAAATTTCCACGTCAATCTTTTGAAGTGCGAGCAGGTTGAAATCAACGGATTTACCGTCTCAGCACCTAAGGAAAGCATGAACACAGATGGAATTCACATCGGTCGTTCAACTGGGATCAAAATCATTGACACAACCATCGGAACTGGGGATGATTGTATTTCGATCGGTGACGGTACCAAGGACCTCACTGTGACCAACGTTGCTTGCGGGCCAGGCCACGGCATAGCCATCGGAAGCCTTGGAAGGTACCCAGAGGAAGAACCTGTGTCTGGCATCAATATTAAGAAATGCACCTTGACTAATACAACAAATGGTGTGAGGATCAAAACATGGCCTGCTTCCCCAAAAGCTGGCACTGCCTCAGATATTCACTTTGAGGATATTACTATGGTTAATGTTGGTAACCCTATCCTCATTGACCAAGAGTACTGCCCATGGAACGAATGCAAAAAAGGGGTATCTATCTATAACAATTTATTCACATCATATATATGTTCCTTGTTAATCAAGTCATCCTTTATTTAATCTTTAAAAAGATTTAAATTAATCAATTAATGAATGGTTTTGTGTAGGTTCCTTCCAAAGTTAAGATCAGCAATGTTAGCTTCAAGAACATCAAGGGCACCTGTACCGACCCAGTTGCTGTGAAGCTTGCATGCAGCCCAGGCCTGCCATGTGAAAATGTGGAATTGAGTGACATTGATCTCAAGTACACTGGAGACAAAGGCCCTATTACCTCTGTGTGTTCTAATGTCAAGCCGACAATTAATCGCGTGGCACAACCTCTTGCTTGCGCTACCGGCACTGCTGCTGCTTGATCTAACAAGCACAAACCATGCTGCTGATGTTTATTCAGAGATACATTGGTTTTGTGCTCTACGATTTTGTTCTAATTGTACTTGGTGTTTTCATCTAAGAGGTGGAAAATATCTCAGTACATTTTTTGTTACATCTTAAAAGAGATGAATAAATTAGTAGGTATTACATGAAAATAATTATGGGAAAGAGAAAGAAAGTTTTATTTGATTAAAAAAGAATGTTATTGGAAGGTGAATCTTCTTTGGATTTTTTTGAAACCAAATTTACTCAATTACCCTCTTTATTTAATTGTTTTTGCATGAACGACCACCTCGACCCGAGGTGTGCTATGAAGGGGAAGAGGGAGGGGTGATTCAGTCTTATGCTTTTTATTTTTTGTGCAAGAATAGAAGTAAAAAACTTCAAACAAAAAAAAGAAGAAGGATTATTAATTCTTGTAATGTGTTGAGTTTAAATGCACATTAAAAGAGGGTAAACGGCTGAATACTCCCTTGAACTATCATGCTTGTCGAAATCTCTACCATGAATTAATTTTTCAGCCAATTTAGCCCTTGTATTAAATTTATTTGCCAACTTCACCCTTGCCGTTAGCTTTTGACAATTTTCATCCAAATCTCTTTTAAAGAAGTACCATGTTAGGCATATACTTCATTGTTGAATTAAAAATTAATTTTTTTTTCTCTGGTTCTTCAAAGAGCTGGAATGGGGGAGGGGGGGGGGGGGGGGGGGGTGGGTCTGGTGTGGGTGTGCGAGGACGGGGTATGGATCTGTGTGGGTGGTGGTTGGTGGTTGGGATATGGGGGCAGAGAGAAATCAGAATGTGGGAGAAGAAATCGGGGGAGGGGTGCTGATTCTGGGTTTTGCGGGTGGGGGAATGGGGGAAACTAGAATTTATTAAAAAAGCTGAAACTAGATAAAGAACTCTAAGAACTAGTAAAACCCAATCCTTGCCAAGCTTTAAACTTTATGAACCATACAAAATTGACAACACCCAAGGTGGTTCCAACCCTGAATTCTTCAGTCAATTAAAAACTCCATTTTTTAAGAACAAAAACATTATCTGTAAAGCTATAAATACTTATATCTGCTAGTATGCTTTAATATATACTATGTTAATTTGGTAGAAAGGGCCTCATAAATTATTTCGACTTTTAATTACTATATGGAAAGAAGTAATTGGAACGTTTAATTATTTCAACAGAATCGGAGGGTGGGGGGGGGAGATGTTGGTTGGGAAATGGGGGAGAAGAAATTGGTGGGAGGTTTTCTTTTTCTCTATTTGATTTTGTTACATTTTCCTTATTTTTCTTAATACTATACTTTGTAAAATGTGAAATTTACCCTTATATTTGATGGGCATTTAGATGGAATAGTGAAAAGGCTAACGGTATGGGTGAAATTGGCGAATAAATTTAATACAAGGGCTAAATTAGCTGAAAAATTAATTCAGGATGGGAATTTCGACAAACGTGATAGTTCAGGAGGGATTCGAAAGTTTACCCTTAAAAAAACTTAAAAATTTGCCTTGAACATTTGTTATCTACTATCATCTGCATTTTTATGCGCGCCATGTTAATCATTCTTTCCTCTTTGTAGATGTGGATTAGGACAAAACAATGTGCCAATCCCCTTGCAATATGAATCTTCTTTGGATATTTGTTTAACCAAATTTACTCAATTAGCCTCTTTATTTAATTATTTCTCTTTCCTGATATTTAGTACATTGTAAATGTTGTTTGTGAATGCAAGCATATATCTTAGCATCTTTAGTAACTCTTTGAGTATGCTATTGATTTTAGGCTATTAATAGTGCTTGGAAAGAAGCATGCGCATCCACAACTCCGAACATGGTTGTGATCATAGTCTAAAATATCGATAATATCGACGAAATATCGAGGATATTATCATTTTTTCAAGTCACGGATATTTCGAAACGTATTCATACACATATCGTATAAATATCGACGATAATATCGGAAAATATTGATGTCGATAATTTCGTTCACACTTCAGCAATATTTTGTTAAAATATCGCTATAATATCGAAAATATCAAAAATATCAAAAATATCAATGTAATAGAAAAAATATAAAAAAACACAAAGCACACACGCAAAGGGGATCCAAACCCCTACCATTTCACTCCTCCAATGCCTTAACCACCATGTTTCTTATGTTTTTGTGATAATATGCAGAAATATGTATAGTTTTATTGTTTTGTTTTGAACTATTTTTGTAAAAATTAAATTTACACATGAGAATGTGAGTCTGACTTTTTCCTTTTGGGATGGAATTGAGCGGCTTATGGAAAGAATCTGATACCCAATCTTCAAATGATTTTGCTTACGGAAAACGTCAACCAATCTCGAATCCATATGGGTGGCATGTTAACAATTACATGCAAAACTATTTTGGGGATTTATCATTGAATAATACTAGTCTTACCACATTTTTATACTATAATTTCATACCACATGAAGTGGCAGCTGATGTGTACATACCACATCATGTAAAATAATATTTTCTGTTTTTCTAATTTTATTTATTAAAATACACTTCATTCATTTAATTGATATGACATATGATATGGACATGCCACATCATGTGGTATAGAAATGTGAAATAAAAATGTGGTAGGGTTAATTACTGTAGACGTCCTTGAACTTGGCCCCCATTTGCAATTGGGTCTGTGAACTTTTTTTTTCCGGCAATTACATCAATTAACTCAATAAACAGTTGCAATTAGGTCATGCCGTCCAAATCTGTCAATTTGTCCGTCAAAATTAGGGTTAAAAGCGTCCTTTCAATTAGCATGGATGAACTGCTCCTTCTTCCAGAATTATTTACTGTGCTGGAGAAAAGGTAAATTTAAAAAATAATAATAATAACAAGAACAAATATATCTTAAAGAATAAAATAACAAAAAATTCAAAAAAATAAAACCTAGAACAAGAACAGTCGCACCAAACCCAGAAAAAGGCACCTCCATCTCATCTTCCCCAACCCAACCTCCAATTCGGAATAATCGTGAAATACTAGTAAACAATCAAATAATATAAAAACTCTGAGCATATACGGCAATGCAACATGATGTACCATTATTTAAAACAGTTCAGAAATGCAATATCACCCGATAAAGTCAATAATAGTAACTCGAGCACACCCCAAGACCAGAAATTTCCTGGAAACTTCTTGTAAATTCCCAGAGAATGTTGTTATGCATAGTTCCAAATGGACAAATTTTCGAATTTTGATAAGATAAATTTATTTCGGGATCTTCCTCTGTTTCTTTTTTCAGGAAATAATAATTCTTACCCCCAATCCAATGCAAATTCTCCAAGCAAACCAAACATAACATAATCTCAATCCCAATAACCAAAATGAAAATTTCAAAACACACATATTTCTTAACATTTGATGTTCACATAAGCATGGAGGTATATAATTCACAGAGAAAGAGAAAGAGAAAGGACCTGATGGCAGCTATTGCAGGTGAGGGGCAAGAAATCGATCTGCTGGCAATCGACGACGTAGCAATGCCGACCCAGATCTGGAAACTCCGGAGTTCCCATTAAAATTCGTATACAGAAGCTCCTCACCAATCAACGAACCAAGAAATTAACACCCAGCATGCAGCAACAGGACGAACAAGATGGGATTTCTATTTCCACAACCAAACAATCCAGTATAAGATTCGATGAGATTTTGTAGTCCCGGGATTGGATTGT